TAATAGTTAAATGCTGTAAACAATTCAAGTGTATATCAATTAGTGCATAGATAAATAAATGTTTTATCCATATAATGACATACTGTTCAGCAAGGAAAAGGAATAATTATGAATACATCCAGCAATATGAATAAAACTCAAAACATTATGTTAAGTGAGAGAAGCCAGACATAAAGGCAATTTATTGTATGATTCCATTTATATAAAATTTCTAGTAAATGCAAACTATAAAAATAGAAAGCATATTCATGCTTTCCTGGAGCCAGAGAGGCCCAGGGCTGACCTCAAACTACCATCAGGGAATCATTTAAGGTGATGGGAGTTTTAAAACTCATTTGGGGTAATAGTTTCACAATTATATAAATTTACTAAACCTCTTCAAATTGTATGCTTAAAATGGATAAATTCAATGATAAGTAAATAAAATAACAATTAAAGATCAGTAGAGAGGAAGGGGCTTTTTTGTACTCTACATGCTAAGTGAGAGCCCTAGACTATTGCTATAGTCTAAATGAGAAGTCATGGTAACTTTGCAAAGACGGTAGGTGTGAAGATGAAAGGAATTTGAAGTATGAGGAACATATTTTGGTTTGGACTCAATAGGCCTTGGTAATGGATTATATATAAGGAAGAAGAAAAGAAAGATTTGGAATTTTGGTTTCAGCAACTGGGTAGGTTGTGGTATAGTTAGTGTGATTTATTGAAATTAACCATAAGCAGAGAGGAAGAAAAAGTTTGTTTTTATTTTACAGTATCCATTGTGTAGTTGCCTGTTCTAGAAGAAAGATGTACCATTGCACCATACTCCTTCTTACTGTTTTCACCTTCCAATAGCTGGCATTCACTTCTATAAACCCAAGGGATGACATTAAATTGTTGTCATGATGTTCTCTGCTTCCTCCCTCCAAATCCCTTCACTGTTGGAAGAATTTCAGTCAAGCCTTATGCGTTTCCTTAGATTTGATCAAGATATACTAAATTAAATTACAACTTTAAAGAAAGCTGTATTTCTACTGAGATAGGGGGAGCAGGAATGAAGAAACAATAAATTTCACAGTGTAATGGTTCAAATGAACATACAACCCAGCCTTATTACATAAAATATATTTTAATGAGTCTCTAGCACAGAAAATTCCAAAATTGTTTACTTAATGCTTTTGAGAAAGCTTTGAGACCCATACATGCTATGTTGATAAAGTTATGATAAAAGTTATGAAGCTGGAATTGAAGGGCTCTGAGAAGCCAGACATAATTCCTCATTTATCCTTCAAAGAATACCAGACACAGTTCATATGTTCAATCAGAGAAAAGTTAGTAAAATTTGAGCATAATTATTGATGTTTTTTTCCTCTCCCCTGTGCAAATATAATTTAAATACAGATCTAATTTCAACAAAGCTAAATTTACTTCTTTTCCCATCAGAGACCTATGGGAGAGACATCTATTTGTGAAGCTCCAAACAAATGTTCTCCTTTTGCTTAAAAAATCCCCTGGAGAAACCACTAAATGTTGTTAAATAAGGTTCCTAACCAATGCTGTGCAGTTTTCCTGAGCAATATCATTCATGAATGGAAATTTAAAAACATCTGGCATCAAGGTGAGTTTGGGTGACAGAAGATAAAAACTAAGTAAGATATACAGAAAATTTGCAACTAACTAGGAAGAATTTGAGTCCAAAGGTGGTTGAATAAGAACTGGATTATCTCACTCTTTAGACTTCTGAAAGCAGCTGCCTTGAAAACGTAGACGGAGTGGTGGGAAAAAATTAAATGCTGTTTAGGCACTGGAGGAAGGAGACCCCATAATGCTGATGTGACAAGGACAAAGGGATAATGTTACAGGCAAGCACTTTTCTGTACAATAATAGAAAGCACTTCTCTGTGCTCCATAGATAGAGGAGTCTTCCTTTGGAAGTGATAAGACCTCTACCAATGAAAATGATTAGTACAACATTTGGAAAGAATTCCAGTGACCATGTAGCCCAACTTCCTCACAAAATTCATGACACATGTCATTCTCTCTTTGCCTAAATACACCTGATGATAGTAATCTTGCTAGGGATTTCTATCTGCATGAATAAACATTTTTTGAACCAGAGTCTACTTTCCTATAACTTTTCTTATTCATCATATGTATGCCCTTAGGATGTGAAAAATAATAGAAAAGGCAATTATTTGCATCTACTCCATCATAATTCTAAATTACTCATCCCATATTCTCATCCCAATTCTGAATATCTCTAATTTCATTTTTTTAAGAAATCTTTAAGATTCCAGACATCTTTAAACCATGTTTGCCTTTCTCTAATGCACTCATATTTTTTCAATATGCACCCTAATTTGTTAAGGTATTTATGTACAAGCAAGAAGACAAACCAAAAAGGTTTTGAAATTCATTCATTTATCACACAATCATTTTTCTTATGCCACTATTTTAAGTCACTATTTTAAGTGCAAGAGATATAGCAGTTAACAAAATAGACAGAAATCCTCATGCACATAGATTTTAGTGAGATACCACAGATAATACTAATTGCATTGGATTAAGAAAAAGCTGGAAAGGGAAATGTCATACCAAATTTGGCAAGGGCCTGGGGGTTACAATTTTAAATTGGAAGGTAAGAAAATGCCTTACTTTCGGGCTGACCCTGAGTAGAGACTGGACACTATTGAAGGTATGTGTTATGGTATTATCTGGGGAAGAATAACACTGGAAGTGAAAATGACAAGTGGAAATGCCCTGAATTATGCATGTGCTTGCTGAGTGTGAGAAACCTCCAGAAAGCATGGATAGACTGAGAGGGTCAGAGATCAAGCAGTGGGAGCAACATTCAGAGATTTAGAAGGGTCCTAACTATGTAGAATGTTGTAAACAAATCAAAGAATGCGGCTTTTGCTCTAAGCAAGATGTAGGGATACTGGAGGTTTAAGGGGTAGCTAGACATGGTTTTACTTACATTTATTTTATTAAACAAAGTAATGGTAATAATATTAACAATACTTGTAATAGTAATATATATTTTGCTTGTTGTGTTCCAGGCTTTGGTGAAAATCTCCATGGTTTACTCTACTCAGTGTTAAAAGCATTCTAGAGTTGAGCAAATTGCTTTAGAAGTCAGTTCTAATCTCCTGTTTTCTGGGAAAATGTGTCTTTTATCTTTTTTTATATATTGACATTATTTATATAACATCATTTGAAAAGCATTCTACTGCTTAAAAGTAATTATTTACAGAGAGAGAGAGAGAGAGAGAGAGAGAAAGTCCTAGGTTTAATCTCATCCACAAAAAATGGAAAGAGAGAAAATAGAAGCAGTCAAAATTAAAACTTTGGAAAAGGCTGTTATGTGGGGGAGATCAAAATATAACAGAAATGGTGACAGAAGGAGAATTGACTTTGGGTGAGGAACACACATTGCAATATATAGATGATGCATTATAGAACTGTATACTTAAAGCCTATGTACTTTTACTAACCAATGTTACCCCAATAAATTTAACAAGAAAGATAAAAAAATATATGAGAAAAACATATAAAATGATTTTTGAAAATGCAACATAATACAATGCTGTGAGAAGATGAATAATTCAAGTTGATAATCTCAAACAAACAATAACTAAGGAGGAACTTTTAGAAACATAAAGAAAAATTTTCTCAAAAAAATAAAAATAAAGTCATGGAGTCTTATGATTTTAATTAAAAAGCTTTCAGGCTAGATTCTTATCCCAAAACATAGAAGAAATGTGGAAAGTTAAGTGTCCTCAAAAAAAGCAAAGAAATTATGGATGGATCTTGAGGTTATCATGCTAAGCGAAATAAGCCAGAGAGAAAAAGTCAAGAACTATATGACTTCACTCATATGTGGAATATAAAACTGAAGGCAACAAAGGTACAAAACAAACAAACAAAGAAACGAAAACTCATAGACACAGACAACAGCTTACTGGTTACCAGAGGGTAAGGGGGGAGAGGAGGTGGTAGAAGAGGAAAAAGGGGATCAAATATATGGTGATGGAAAGAGAACTGACTCTGGGTGGTGAACACCCAATGCAATATATAGATGATGTACTATAGAAATGTTCACTTGAAACCTATACAATTTTACTAACCAATATCACACCAATAAATTTAATTTTTTAAAAATAGAAAAGAAGAAATTAATAAAGATTTCATCCTACTCAATATAAATTTTCATAGTAATTTGAGGGCTAAAAAAATAAGATATAAAAATTATGAACATTTATAGATGCATATCATGCTTATCTACATAGAGATTTGAGAGAATCAGTAGGCAATATGAGAATTAATTAGAGCTTAACAGTGTCATTAGTTAAATGTAAATACTAAAATCTTCCATGTTTACCAGCAAGAAACAGTTAGAGATATAATGCAAAATGCACATGGTCATACTTTGTAAGGTGTAGCTTATCATATAACTTTTACCCTGTCAAATCTTCTGTCCTGATTATTCTGAATTAGAGAATCCAGAGTTTCCAGGTTTAGACTTGTAGATCGATCATGCTCAGCCCCATATCTGTATGCAGTAAGTAGGTGCTCATATAATTTGATTGGTTATAACCCAGTGGACACATCTGAAAAGACTTCTTGGAAGAAGGGAAATTATGTGAGGAGTTATAATCAGTGTTATTTAACCAAGGTCCATAATTTGAAAATTGGTAGAGGAGGCAAAAGCAAACATTAGTGACTGGCCTGGGCAGTATAAATAGACACAGTACATAGTATGGTACTAAGCTAAGTAAGACCAGGGTATTATTACTATATTTGCATTTTTTTTATTCAGTAACAGGCTCAAGACCACTATTTAGGATCAATGAACACAGTCTGGGTACAGAAAGATGATTTTTTTCTTCTAAAATTGTTATTTATATCATGCAAAATGTTTCTTCATATTTAGTCTCTGGCTGAAAATAATACCACCACTATCTTCTTGTATAGCACATCTTTATTCAAACAAAAAGTAACATGCCTTGAAAATGACCATCATGCATGGAGCCAACAGCTCCAGCCTAACACCAAGATACTTCATCCTCACTGGGATTCCTGGGCTGGAAGCCGCGCATGTCTGGATCTCCCTGCCATTCTGCTTCATGTACATCGTTGCTGTCGTGGGGAACTGTGGGCTCATCTCCCTCATCAGCCATGAGGAGGCTCTGCATCGACCCATGTACTACTTCCTAGCCTTGCTGTCGCTTACAGATGTTAGTGGATGCACTTCATTTGTCCCCAATATGTTATGTATCTTTTGGCCCAATCTCAAAGAGATTGACTTTAATGCCTGCCTTGTGCAGATGTTTTTCATCCACATGCTGACGGGCATGGAGTCTGGCGTGCTCGTGCTCATGGCGCTGGATCGCTATGTGGCCATTTGCTACCCTCTGCGCTATTCCACCATCCTCAACAACACCACGATTACCAAGGTTGGGCTTGCCACATTCACTCGAAGTGTGTTGATCATGATCCCATTTACTTTCCTGATCAAGCGTCTCCCTTACTGCAAGGGCAACCTCGTCCACCACACCTACTGTGACCATATGTCTGTAGCCAAATTATCCTGTGGAAACATCAGGATTAATGCTATCTATGGTCTCATAGCTGCCGTATTGATTGGGGGCTTTGATATGTTCTGCATCTCCACGTCTTATACCATGATTATCCGTGCTGTAGTCAAACTGTCATCTGCAGATGCTCGCCACAAAGCCTTCAGCACCTGTACATCACACACATGTGCTATTATCATCACCTATGTCCCAGCCTTCTTCAACTTCACTCACCGCTTTGGGGGACGTACCATACCTCACCATGTTCACATTTTTGTAGCCAATCTCTACCTGTTGGTGCCTCCCACCTTGAATCCAATTGTCTATGGAGTGAAGACAAAACAGATCCGTGAAGGAGTGATCAAATTGTTTTTTAGAGAAAAAGACATATTGAGTATGAGATAAATCTATGATACAGAATTCTACATGTAGCATAAAGATAAAGAGAAATGTTGAGACAGAGTAAATGCAAAATTCAACAACTGTGAGCTCGGGAAAATATGTCAATATTCTGCTATAAGATTTATGAGACAATCACAGAATTTCACAGCTGAGACCTCTAATTTGGTAGAAAAAAATAAGATAGACAGGAAATAATTATATCTCCCACACAGTTTAACTTTATTTAAACCTTGTGAAATGGATGCAACAGAATGTTATAGTTACAATATTCAACTTAGGTAAACTCTTGATGATTCATGAACTTTGATCTAGGCACTGTGAGGAAGTATATGGGAAAGAATAAAGAAGGTCACATAGCCTCGGGAGACTCCAGAAGATTGGGGAAGACACATGAGCAAACTGTCCCATTTGTTACAGAGAAGCAAGAAACTCTTTCACTGACTGTCTCTGCTGAATTCCAGAGGTCCTGTCATCTTTTTAAGTCCATACTTATGTGGAACTTGTATAAGTTTAGAAAAAAATTACCTTCTTTACTCATTTATTTCTGACATTCTGTTACCTAGGTAATTATTTGGATTCCTATGAATGTACCAGTGTACATATAAATGAAGCTGGAGAAAATAAGACTAATGGAGTTCATCATAATCTGGGAAGTACTCTATGGAGTTCATATGAAGAAGAATTTTGAAAGACACAGTGGATACTATTTGATAGCGGTTTGAGGAAAGGAGCTATATATATATATATACATGAAAGGAGACTTGAAGGAAATCTGTGTAACTTGCCAATCAAGGATGTCTGGGCTTGACTGCTTTACTTGACTCTAATATAAGAGAAAAACAGTTGAGTGATCAGGGACAATGAAGAAAGGAGTACCTTATTTACATTTCTGGAAATAACAGAGAAAAAAAATAAATGGAAGTGGAATGATAAATGTGGTATTCAGATATAGCAAGATTGAAAAGTAAAAAAGAATAAGAGCATAACCCAAAAGGAAACTAGAGTAATCAAATGTGATCAGAAAACTGGTATAAATAGATCTGTAGGTAGAAATATTAGTTATATTTATTAAGATTATATTCTTGTTTGCTTACATGAAGAATATATTTTAATATGTTATACATAGTCAAATGATTAAGAAATGTATTAATCACATCATATACTTTTGCAATATAATTTTCACATGTTTGGAAGCAAAACTTGTGTTTAAAAAATACTTACATTATAAAAGTTACTCTAAGTGACGTAAATTATAAATTTATAATCAGTAAAGTTGCTATCTCTTGGAATTATGTTTTGGGTTTGGTAGATTTTGTTCATCAGGTATTCTCAGTTAAACCATACCAAAATACTAGCAAATAAATTAAGAAATGACTTTTCCTAGACTGCCATTTTGAAACATAAATATTTTGTGAGGTATTATTAATAATGCTTTATATATAATATATCATTGAACTTTTACTTCCAAAATATAGAGTAGCTATAATTATCCTTATTTAATAAATGAAGGATAGGAGCTACAAAAATAGCAAGACTGGATGAATCTCAGAACATTACGATTAAAATTTAAATACTATATGTTGATATGCCTATTCTGTGGGGAAGGGATGTGGGAGGCAAAAACAGCAGCAATAACAACAAAGTAAAACCAGAACATAAACTTAAATTCTGGAGAAATAAAATGCAAAAAATAAAATTTATTTGAGTAACAATCTCCAATTAATTTTGTCATCTTCTCCTTTACAAACTCAAAAATGGGTTTCATGGGTGAACAAAACACAATTGTAAAAACTAAGATTCACAACTGAATTAGAAACAGCAAGCCAGAATCATTAAGAAATTTAAAAATAAGTATAAGGTAGATGCTGATGGAAGAAAATTCTACTCAGTATCCATGGGGAGAGATAAGGAATGAAGCGGAAGGAGAAAAAAAGGAGAGGTGAAGACTGGAATAAATGGTGGAAAGACACTTCATTTCAAATTTCATCTCCCATCCTAGAGAGCAACACAGACCCCAGTGGGCCTGAAAACAGAGGCCCACCCTCCCACATCCACCTCACACAGTTTGATTAGGTCTAGAACTAAGATATCAAGTACAAAGAACTCACACCCAGATTTCAATTTAGTTAAATCATATTTTCTTTCAACTATGAGATATTAATATTCCCAAAGGAAAGGACATGGAAGCAAATTACAAGGTAATACCAAGGGTGGTGAAAATTATTTTGCTACTGCAGAATCTCCAGAACCACTTGGCCCACCATTTCAGACTGGTCATCTGTGTAGATGTACAGAGGTAAGAAAAATGAAATAACAAACAAAACAGTACAGTAAGTCCCAACTTAGGAACATTCGAGTTGCAAACTTTCACAGATACAAACGGACCTCACATTACAAACATTCGTAGATGCAAACAAATTGCGGAAGTAGCTCACGTGTGTGAGCTCAGGTGTGGGTCAAATTCCATCTTGCCCTCCATCTCCTATTGCTGATGATCCTTCAGCTCCATTCACATCAGGTGTGGGCCAAATTCCATGTTGCCCTCCATCTCCTATCGCTGATGAGCCTTCAGTTCCATTCACATCAGGTGTGGGCCGAATTCCATGTTGCTCTCCATCTCCTATGCTGATGAGCCTTCAGCTCCATTCACATCAGGTGTGGGCCAAATTCCATCCTGCCCTCCATCTCCTATCGCTGATGAGCCTTCAGCTCCACCATCTCCCACCTACCCTCCCTCTTCCAGTTAGTAACTCTCTTCTTGTCAGTTCACTCCATGCAGTCCCCTATATGCCAGTGGTTGTACTGTACTGTACCACCATTTTAAGGTAACTGTAAAAATTAAAATATTTACTTACAGTATTTTTGTGTGTGTTTAGTTTTTTATGCTTTACATTGTATATTTGTGTCAAAGGTGTATAATACCCACTTTGTCGAATTTATGAACAAATCTGACTTACAAATGTTCTCCCGGAACTGAACTCACTGATAAGTCGGGGACTTACTGTACAAATGAGAGGACATGAAGTACAGTGAGCATTCCACAAGACCCTCTCACAACAGGGTCTCTACTAGCAGTTGTGTTTTATGTTTTACTGAATGACAATGTTAAGTCAAAATGTATAACAAATCTTGCCTCACTTTTTCCTTGAGTTCTGTCTCTCAGTATTAATGAATGACAAATTTACTTTTCCTTGAAATAAAAAATACCATAGACATACGTTGTCTTTCAAAAAACTTAAAACTATTTCCAAAAAAGTTTTATTTTTTTAATTCAATATTATTTAATATTAATTTCAGGCGTGCAGAATAATGGTTAGACATATAATTTATGCAGCAATCCCCCCGATTAGTCTAGTACACACCTCACACTATACATAATTGTTGCAACATTATTGACTGTATTCTCTATACTGTACTTTATTTCCCTGTGACTATTTTGTAACTATTTCTTAATCCAAAACAGTTTTATAGAAAACTGAAAACAATGCACAAGGATTGCTTAATTATTTTGTGAGATGATAATCAGAGATGAGAATTTTGAATTTAACATTTTAAAATTAGAGATGAAATCAAAGGCATTTCAGTCAATAGAAAAGAGGTTTGGTATTGGCCTGGAATTCTCCCTTGATTCCTTTGCAGCAATTGATGTCTGTAGAAACTACACAATTGTGCATACCTATCTAAGTTTTGGGTAATTTTATGTTACATGGTGAAGGCACAGATTTCTTTATCCAACTGATGCTACTTTCATGCATCCAAATACACCCTAAACCCCTATGTAATGGTAGAAAATAAAGATTTTGTAGGCAAATTCACATGGGGTTGAGTGTGCAAAGTAGTGTTAGAGAGTGCTGTGGAGGAAGGGGTGCGTATGTAGAGTGGGGCATTTTGCTACATATAGCTGCTAAAAATAAGTGTTGCAACCTGGGGTAAGGATAAGAACTTTGCTGCAGTGAAATTTGGGAGTTTGGGGGTCATAAAAGAGGGAAATCAGGAGAAAGAAGGGCAAGAGAAAAAGGAAAAAGAGGAGGGGGAAAGAAAATTCCGAAAGGTTATCACAATCTGAATATTGTACAGAGGATGTGGTATGATAAGAAAAAACAAATAGAAATAATTTTAAGAAAAGGAGGAGAGAAATTTTGGAGAAGGGATACAATTATTCTCTGCTTCTTATTACTTCAAGTATAAGGACTTCATTTAGACTCACATTCTTTTTTTTGTGAAATACACGTTTTTGAAATTCGTTTCAGCTGTACAACACAGTGCACTAGTTATACTTTCTACCCCTCAAAGTGACAACCCCCCTCCCCCAATCCGCTGCCCCACTCCCTCTCCCCGCCATATCATACATATCTATTACAATTCTCTTGACTCCACTCCCACACTATACTCCACCCCCAGTGACTATATATATATTCAATTATAGTTGACATACACTATTATACAACATCAGCTTCAGGTATATAGTGCAGTAATCAAGCCTCTACCCCATCCATTAAATGGTCTCCCTAACAAGACATGTGACCATCTGACTCCCTACAAAATATTTGCAACATTATTAATTATGTTCCCCAAACTGTCTTTCATATCCCTGTGGCAATATTGTAGTTACCTATTTATGCTGTCTAATCCCGTCCCCTTCTCCCTCATCCCCACCCACTTCCACCTAGCAACCATCAGTTTTTCCTCTATATCTTTGAGACTATTTCTGTTTATTTTACTCGTTCATTCAGTTTTTTAGATTCCACATATAAGTGAGATCATATGGTATTTGCCTTTCTCCGACTGACTTATTTCACTTAACATAACAGTCTCTAAGTCCATCCATATCATTGCAAATGTTACGATTTCATTCTTCTTTATAGCGAAGTAATACTCCATTGTATAAATGTACCACAGTTTCTTAATTCAGTTGTCTTCCAACGGGCATTTTGGTTGTTTCCAAGTCTTGGCTATTGTAAATAGCACTGCCGTAAATAAAGGAATGCATATATATTTTTTCA